GTGATGAAGGAATCTAATTTTTTCGATGTGCATAACCAGAACCTCATTGATTTTAAATGCCACTATGTCTCATAGCAAGTTTACATGGTTACATGCAGGCAGGGGGGTATAAATATAGGAGTGTGTGTGTTTAATCATATTTCAGTTATGTTCCCTAAAACTAAACAAATCAATCTAATCTACACATGGCTCTTAAATATTTGAAGACTGAAGAATATTTGAAATTATTTGCTACTCTTAAATTTCCTTAAGGTTAAACAAGTCTACTTCCTTCAATGATTTCTCTAAGTACAAGGATTCCATCCTGGCTGCCTTCCAACCAACCTCTTAAAGTCCTTCTTAAAATGTAGTCTTGAGCCTAACACAGTGCTCCAGACATGGTCTTATAACTGCCAAACACTTTTTTTCAAACCAACATCTTCTGTGTGTCTTTTTGCCACTTCCTCTGCTCAACTAACTTACCTAACACTCCACTTCTGTCAATTAGATTATATTTTTGACATAATATGCTCTCAACTCATTTTGAGTTAGCAATCTACTATGAGCCCTAGGACCTCTTCCGAATACAAGATTTCTGGCCATGTTTCATAAATTGTTTGTTGATTTTTCTCTTTTTTTTTTAAGTCTAAGCTCAGAACCTTCGGTCTTAAAACCATTCGTCTTTCTATGGGTTCTTTCTGAATTTTGATTTCGTCATCCAATGTATTAACTATTCTTCTCCATCTAAAAGTAGGTCTAGCATGTGTATTTTATCTTCACAGAAATCTTCGATTCACTTATAGGACTGAGAAGTATTGCAGCATACCTCTAAGTTGACAAACATGTATTAACTTTCTAACCAGCTACCATCATCAAACTCATTCTCCTTTATTTTTCCACTCAAGAGATAGTCTGTCAAATCTCTTGCTAAAATCCTGACATGCTGTGTCTTTGACAGTCTCTGATAAACCCCATAGAAGAAAAAAGAGTTCAGTCTGCCAAGGACTAAATCCTTAGTGGAGCAATGGTATTCTCAAATCCCCTTTGTTTCCTGTTCAAAAACTACCTGTCTAAACATCAGTTCTAGAATTCTGTAGAAAATTGACACCAAGCTCATCATTCTATAAGTGACTTAAAATTTGTGAGATTAAAAGGTAATGAAATTATTCACTCACTTGAACATAATTGATAAAGTCTTCCTTACAAAGAGCTCTTCGCTGTATTCTGTATTCTAAATCCGAGGCTTTCTTAATGATAGCCCTGAGGAGAAAGCCATTTAAAATGTAACACTTAAAAAGTGCGAAATCAAGTTTGCAAATCAAGTTATAACTTTGGAGTTTTTGTTAAGTTTATTTTTAATATATTTAAAACACATTTTTACGAAAACATAATTCTCAAATAATTTTCCTTCATAAGCAAATACATGATGACTTCTGTGTTAAGGGCATCAGGATGTATTTTAAAACATTCATGAAAATCCTTTTAAGAATACAAAACTGAATTAAATAGTCCTCATCTTAAAGTCACGTTAATGTTAATCAATTACCAGGACCGTTAACATTTCCACCAACGAAACGAATATTAAGTACTTTATATTATTTATATGTAGTATTAAAGATTTCTTTTCCTCCAAATTCAGGTCACTTAGGTTTTAATAATCAAATCTCTTTCCTAAATTCCTCTTCTGAGTTTTTAACAGGCAGATTGAAAAAAAAAAAAAAAAACACAAACACCTAGATTGTCTCTACCTGGAAATGTTTATTACCACTATAAAGACTGATGAAAGAAGACTCATTGTATTTAGCTAAAGAACACACAAGATGTGCATATTAGGAGAATTTAATGCAAGATGTGCAAGACCAATAATTGTCTCTAGTTAATAACAATAACATTTACTGAGCATTTATTAAGAATCCACACTGTTGCATTTCATTAACAAATGTTTAAGGCTCCCACAGTCACATCACTACATTCAGTCACTGTGAAATTAAGAAAGTCACAGATAACCATTAAAAACTATTAAACTTAATTTTAACAAATTACTGAATGCCAACTTTATGCCAGACGTTGTTGGCTAAACTCTGGGGTAGAATACGAAATTGAATTAAATGGTCTCCATCTTCAAGTCGTTAGAAAGATTTATCTACTCCTCCTGGGCTCTCTCTTCACATCTCTAGACAGAACACTCTACTATAATCAACTTAAAGTACACCGCACTACAATCAAAATGTTTAATTTGTCTCTCTCCCCCACCATACACAGGGCAGTTAGCGCCTGATGAACAGGGATCTTGGTTTTTATCGCCTTTATAGCTCCAAGACCTAGTTTCTTGAAGAGCTGTCAGAATTTTGGGTGAGTAAATAAATGGACGGATCATCTTACAATAAATGAGAAATTAATTGTGGGCATCATCAAAATCTGGAAATAGGCTTCCGCCACGGTAGGAAAAATAAACACAACTGAAGTGTTCCCCATCCCTGCACCCGCCACACACACGACACAACCTCCCCTCAGCCCGCCCCAGCTCTCAGCTCTGTCCCTCAGTTCTCACTTAATCTCCGCGTGACTGAACAGTCCAATGCGCTCCAGTTGTTCCAATTCAGGGAGTCGATCTTCAATGCGCTCCTGAATTATCTCTGCCATGAGGTCTGAACTCTAGAAGCTAACCGAGAACCTCTTCAACACGCGTAGGAGGTGCCCACCTTCTATCCCGGAGACCCAGCCCTAACGTTCGCACGTGCTGACGTAACGTGCGCCTTAGGTCCCGCCTTTTCCGCTTCCGCCGCCTCCGCGGTTGGAGAAGGCCCTCTGGCTCTTGCAGCCGAGGTCACCTCCGTGCGGCTGACTGTGGGGTTGCAGCGAGGACCCTCTCCCTCACAGAACTCCAGTGGGCCAGAGTGGGGAGCGGGGCGAGGATGGGGGCGGGCGAAGTCCGCGCGCGGCAGGACGTGGGCGGGGATCGGAAAAGCGCCTGTGGATTACCTAAAAGGCGTGAAATGCGTGTTCTGCAGATTATTGTGCCCTTTTATTCTGCTCTGTTCTCGCTTTCCACGAACCAAAGAAAAAGAAGAAAAGGGGAAGAGTAAAGGATATCATATAATTATAGTAAACATTTCAAAAAGTCAGTAATGAAAATCGTAGGGGGTGCTAAAACTTACCAGGCTATCGAAAAACATTGTCTTTGCTTTGGGCTTTTTCATGTGCCAATCAGACTCTGTAATTGGCCGATAAATTTTTAAATGGGGAGACTTTTTTTTTATTTAAATAATTATCCTGGCTTTGTAGACAAGATCTTTCGAAATGCATGACCTTGGGTGAATATCAGAAACTACATTACTTCTAAAAGAGGGGATCTTGGTATTGAACAGTTTGTGAGTTACAGAAATAAATCGATAAGATACAGATCCTCCTTAATTGCCCAAGCAACTTAACATTTCTAAGAGAATCATCAGACAACTCACCTTAGAAGCAACATCGTTGGTGTAATTACTAAACCTAAAATAATAACTACATGGCTCAGTTATTTTTAAGTCCTGGAAGATGATAAAAAATCAGAGCAGAAGTTCTGGCTAGACTTGTTTATTTCAACATTCGCATTAGCACCTTGATTCTCTGTGTGATTCGCGAAAGGGGAATAGGCTTAGCCATTAACCATGTTCCACCTCTGTGCCTTTCTTTTTTTTTTACCCTTTCACATTTTACCCTACTGTTCTCAGAATTGAGGCTAACGTTGGCATGAGCTTCATTTCTTGATTCCTTCAGCTTTAAGACACCAGGCAAGTGGAAGGAAATCATGGATGTAACACAAAGATAAAATTTCTTTGCAATTGAAATTTTCTGAGACCTGTGTTAACAGTAAGAGTGGGGATGCTACCAGAGAGTACGCTCCATATGGGTAGGGAATTATTTTGTTCACTAGATACTTAAGAGCTTAGAACAGTGACTAGATAAATGCATGACAATAAGAAAAGGCACTTGATAACATTTCTTAAGGTATAAGGGAGTCAACAAGCCTGATTATAATCTTCCACTTAAAAGCAAATTTGATAGATAACTACAATTTTAAGTCAACACAACTACAAATACTCTCATTTTCAAATTCAGCTTCTATGTTAATCTTGCTCTAAGAATTATAATGATAATGTCAAAGCCTTCTTGTCTCTTCTGCAACACGTTACCTATTAACTTATCTAGAACTTATTGTGTCCAGCTACTATGTGCACTGTTCTAAGTCCTTTATATATTATCTAACCTACTTCTAACACAAATATTTTAAAATGTCAACCCAAGAAGGAGCTCTTGAAGAGGTAAAAACATCTACTAGAGAAAGCCCAATACAGAAGAAATTATGTTTGAATAATGCCCATTGGGTCTCTGAATCCTTAGCTGAGTATACCTTCTAGTTAAGGAACCCTAGGGCCAAAGAAAAAGTGCTCTTGAGTCTGGAGCGCTAAGGCGCACCTCATAAAGTTTGACATTTCTTTTATTCAATCTTTAAAATTCACCATAGGTGGCAGATTAATAAGCAGGTAATGACTGGGATAGGGCACAAGGGGGCATTCTGGGTGCTAGAAATGTTCTATACTTGATCTGGGTGTTGTATGTACACATTCGTAAAACTCCACCCACTGAGGTATACACTTAAGATTTGTGCATTTTACAAAAGTTATACTTTAGAATAAAAAAAAAAAATTAATGACCAGACCCTTTCTTTGAGGATATCATTCTCTTCAAGAGTTTTATGTGTGTGGCAGGGTCAAAATATTAAAACACAAAAGGCTTTTTCCCTCTCCAAAAGAATTTTGCATTCTAGCCCATAATATACTAGTACACATTTTAATATAAATTGTTATTTTTTCCAGATGGTCAAATAAGAATAATCCCAGAAAGATGTAACCTGCTCACCCCATGTTGTAGAAACATTTGGCCCCATTGTGGTACTCATGAGCCAGTTTGGAAAATAGCGAAGAGGAGTCTCAGACAATCTCTAGGGTCTGGAGACAAGCTCTTAGGGAGTTTGACAGATGAACAATAACCAGATGTTTGCAAATCAAGTTAAAACTTCTTTTCTTGCCTTCAAAGTACTTAAATGTAAACTTAAAAATAACTTAAACTTTTCCCTGGAATGATCATGGTCATATCTGAAGATTAAGTTCGCAGACAGTTCAGTGGTTAAAAACAGCAGAAAAAGGAATGCTCATCTTTTCTTTTTATTACACTATTATTTGGTAAAGGGAGGTACCTAATTTCAATAATAATTTACCTGGAATCCCATCCCCCTATGTTGCTGAAGTCCCCCCAGCCTGCTTCTCCCACACAGAGAGCTCTGGTTAGACTTCAAAGTCAGAGCAGAAGTGATAGAAACAGACTGGTCTTTGATGCCTAAGAACATCATTTGATGCGAATGCAAAGCATCTGTACTTCTCAAACTTTTCATGTTATCTCACATTGCTAACAACGAAAGCTAAAAAGTTTGAGGTGACATACATTACACATATTAAAATATTTGGAACCAGAAACTTTTCATTTCTTTTTCTATTAGATATAGCTTCTTTTACTTTGCAAACCACACTAGATAGTAAATTACTCCTGGCACGCAGCCTTGTCAGCTTGCCAAATTTCAACTGGAGCAAGTTTTTACAGCCGGTCTAATAAGCCCTGAAAATTAGGAGGTAAGTATAATGAAAATAATGACATGGGCTTTAACTGCAGGAGCATAGAATGACAATGTGAGATTCTAATAGAGTCTACTTTTAAAAGTGTTTTTTATTCTAATGAAATCTTTAAGAACTCTTTTAGGTTATTCCAGTTTAAACACATATAAATGGAAAGAGTTTCTTTTAATTGGTAAAAAGCATTTTTGTGGTTTTTTCCTGTGGCTTAGTTATTGCTTTTTGCAAACAAACAAAAAAACAGAAAAAGAAAAAGAAAACCGAGAATATGGTAGTTTGGGGATAACAACCTACTATTAAAACAAACTGACATCTTGAAAAAACATGTTCTGAAATGATTGGCTTCCAGGATGGGGCCTGGCAATTGTTTGTGTATGAATACATTCATCAAAGCCATAGCTGATTAGGTACATCAACTTTTTTTCCAGTTTGCCTCCAATCCAGATAGAAACCCAATCCCTGCTTAAGTATCTTTCAGGTCTTCTTTGAACAAAGCTTCAAAAATTTGAAAATGACTATCACATTTAATTTTCATCACTGAAACCGGTAGTACCTGTTGTGAGGGAGTACCCTTTTCTCTAAATTTAATTCTCACACCACTCCCATTCACAATTTACAAGTGACAAGGAAAATTCTTCCCCTTCTCATTCTGCCCTCCAATTAGACCTGGACTGATTAGCCTCAGCACCACATGCTCAGTCCAAAATTATTTAAGTAAAAAAGAAGTTTGGAGGTGTGTGTGTGTGTGTGTGTGTGTGTATACGTGTGCGTACGCAGACTTAACTATACAAAAATAATATGGCCTTGCTCCAGAAATGCCAGCTTTCATTTGTTCCCCAACCATTCCATGCTATTTTACTCACACTAGTTTCTGTGCCTGGAATGTCTTCTGTCCCCTTATTCCTTTGGCAAGTTTAGTTTGAAAATGGGGGGGTGGGGGGGGGAGAAAGCCTGACCTTAACACCCACTATCACCACCAATTCGTGTACTTATATGCATTTATATAAAGGGTTTAGTCTTCAAATCCCTTTTTTACCCCTCTCACTAATTGTCTGACTTTCTAGGCGATCTTATCCAGGCCCATAACATCAAATGGCATCTGTCAGTGCTGTCCAAAAGAACTTCCTGTGATGATGGAATGTTCTATATCTTCACTGTCCAATACAGTAGCCCCAAGGCCCAAGTGGCTATTCAGTACTTGCAATGTAGCTAAAACAAGTAAAAAATTAATTTTTAATTTAATTTAAGTGATTTAAATTTAAATTGCCACGTGTAGCTAGTGGCTGCCACATTGGATAGTGCAGATCTAAATGACTTCCAAATTTACAGCACCAATCCATAACTGTCCCCTAAACTCCAGACTCATGCCCGTATATCCAGTTGCCTATTCAACACCTCCACCTAGAACTCATACAGGCATGTCAAATTAGTATGTCCAAAATTGAGCTGCTGATGTTCTCCCTCAAAATCTGCTCTTGCTATAATCTTCTCCCTCTTGGTTGATGGTAATTTTATCCTTCCAGTTTCTCAGGCCAAAAGCTGGGGAGTTGTCTCTGACTCCATATCTAATTCATCAGCAATCCTCTCTGTTCTACGAATTATAGACAGAATATGACCTCTCCCCATCATTGCTACGCTATCATACTTGTGCAAGCCACCATTATTTCTCACCTGAATTATTGCTATAGATTCCATCTGGCCTCCCTGCTTTCACCCTGGCCTTCTTCAGTCTATTCTTAGCAGGTATCTATTCTTAACATCAGCCAAAATTAGTTTGTTAAAATATAAGTCAGACCACATAACAGCTCTGCTCAAAGCCCTACAGTGGCTTCTTAACTAGGAGTAAAAACTAAAATCTTTCGGTTGCCTACAAAGTCCCATACGATCTGGTGCCCTGCTACTTCCTTTCCTCTCTCTCTAGTTTTCTCTGTTCTAGATATATTGAGATCCATGGTACCCCCTTAACTCGGTAAATGCAAGGCCTTTGAACTGGCTATTCTCTCCCTGTAATTCTCTTCTCCATATAAATTCATGGTTCATTCCCTCACCTCTTTCAGATCTTTCTCAAATG